ACATTCTCATTCTAAATCCATTATCATTAGTGGACAGTAGTAGTCATCTTCACATTCACTACTACAATATAACTTCATTTCTGCATGATAATTCGACACTTTATCTGTCGTTCCCAACAGATTTTTTTAGTCGTTATCGACAATTGGGATATAATACAAACTCTAACATATGAAAACCCGATAGTTCATATGCTGTTCTCAACTGATTGTCTCTATCGTTCTCGGCAGTTGGTACAGACCACAAACTATAACTATACATAAGATAACCCGAGAATTTATCTGTCGTTCCCGACATATTGTTCATGTCGTTCTCAACAATTGGCACAATATCTTTGTATCTTAATTGTAGTATTATCTTATGAGATTTCAGATTCTTCAACTAATTGTACATAACATGGCAATGAACTACGACTTGCAAAAACCATTACCTAACTAAAGTGATCGATGAGGATTGCTAAATATGTTTATTCACTACATGTCTTTGCATTCCAACTACAAAACAGTACTCCAACTTTATACAACATGGATAACATTGGCAATATTTTGCCATACACATAAAAAAAAACATTTACATCACAGTTCACGGATCCATGGGCCCCAAATCTAAGTTCAAAATTGCTACACATAATTTTCCTGCTACTCTTAGACAATTCACAAGTTTACAATACGTGAAATTATGGGAGCTGACGAGAAGATTATACATGAATGTTTTAAAAAAAATGTTGCTCTCTGCGAAATCCCAATTGGAGATCTATCCTTCCAGTCAGAACAAAGTACGTGATTCTTCCTAACAACAAGCAGCTGACCAACCTAAACGAAAATTCATAAGCAAATTAGTGTCTCAAAAATGCATATGATAATGTTTTTACATACGTTTCCTCACTTTGCATGTAGACGCACAAGTGAAAGGTATAAATGTGTGAAAAGAAATCCCCCTGTTTCTACAAGATACAACGAGAAAACAAAAAAGGCCAGATCATGATATTTGGTACATGTTGATACGAACGTACAACAAGAAATGAAGAAACACGATTTAACGAAATAATACGAGCATTATATAACAAAATGAAACGAATATCATGTAATATGCAAAAATCTACAAAACACGAAACAGTAAATTACAAATCTACAGAAACAAATTTGAAAATTGTGATTCACAATATTTCGTACATG